GCTGAACTATCGAGCCACACCGAACCCTCACACTCCAAACAGTGTCTCCTCTGCAGAAGTTTTGATGTAAAGAAAACTTCGCACACCATTTGACGTTATTCGTCCGCTGTCATCTGTTGGTGTTGCTGAATAAGCCCATTCGACGTCAATGAAAAGGCAGGTCAACCGACGCCACGGTGCAAAACAACGATTGTTTCACCTAGGCCAGACGGTGCTTGCAAAGGACTACAGGAATAATCAGGAAAAGTGGAAGGTTGGACGTGTTTACCGAAAGTGTGGTGACGTGGTTTACGAGATTCGGGTCGACTACGACATTTGGGTGCGGTACGCCAACCAGTTGAAACACACTGAATGTGCGAACGTGTCAAAAGCAGGCCCAATCGTATTACTGGAACTAGTACTGGACACATTCGGCCTGTCAAAACCACGGCAAGAAACTGCAGTTCCAGTTGTCAGTCAACCTTCCCAAGCCTCTAGACGATCAGGCCGGCAACGAATGCAAACGGTTCTGTTGCAAGTGAACCCGCGACTGAAATCTTACGATTTGTCTTCAAAGAGGGGATTTGCTAGGATGGCCTACCGAACAGCCTTAGCAAGCAATTAGCTTGCAAGCCATAGTCGCACTCCAGGCAGGCTATCGATCGACCTACACGGGCGAATGTACATAGGCCATCGAACAATCGATAATTCAAATTTTAAATTTGCAGTCAGCTGTCGAGTCACTAGCCAATCGTACAGGGGGCTAATCTAGAAGAGAAGCTCACTGGTTCGTGGACCTAATTTACACACGTTCGTTGCCTCAAATTTGTTGTACCTTTATCTCTCAAAGACTTCTGCTGTTGCACACTCCTTGTCGTGTTCTCCCTTTGGGGACTCACACAAGGCGTTATTGGGCGGTGATATCTCGGCCTGTGCTTCTGTTACAACAGATTCCACTCAGTTTGCACTACGAAGGCTATAATACTGCTGCCAGCAGTAGTGTTCCTGCACTAAGCGTGTTAACTCTAGTTATCATTTTTCCTAAGACCAACAAATAGTTTACCGTAATACGGCCGGTTTGTGCTTATAGGAAGCCTGTACCCAGTATCCCATGTAAGCTAAATAATAATAAGCTTTTGGGTTAAAAGCGCGATATTTAAATGGGAGCAGAAGTTTTTGCCATGACTCTTTGTCGCAAAGTAGTTCCAGTTGGTGTCTATAGGCTAACTGCAGGCATGCTACAGTATTTGTCTTGCGATGTGCAACGCAAAGTCGCAGAGTACCGTTTTTCTTCATGATTTGGACGACTGAGGGCGGCCAAAGGGAAATTCAGCCAACGCAATAGCCTTATTATTGATCATGTCGCCTAGCCTCGTCTTTTGCTGTGTCTGGTAGCTTGCGATGGAAACAGTCCTGTAATAATTTGCCATGCTGCTATTTCTGCGGCTCATGTTTCTACTACTTTTTAAAACTCCTGAATAGCAATGTAGCTGAATGTTTGTAAAACTGATATTTCCGAGTAAATGCATGTTTTGAGGTCCGGAGCACATCAGAGCTTGCCTCGGTTTCCGCCCTTAAGGAGAGATGGGAATCAGGAATACCGGGTGTGTGGAACACGCAATACCGGACACCCTTACTTGGTTTACCCTATTGGTCGAGGTGGTCACCGGGGTGTGGCCGTTAGACAGAGCATAGATTCGACAAGCCACGTGCGACTGTTGGGTACCAGCTAAGGGCCGACACGGGAGCATTCAGCACCTACATAAAATGAATGGAGCGACCTAAGGCTATCTGCACGGTGTCCCCCTAATTAACACCCATACAGATCTATTTTTTTAAACACATGGCCTTATCCGGCACCTGAAGCGCAGGTCATATGGCCAAGCAACTGATGCCTATAACGTCAATCCATAAGAAGTTCACATGCCTGGACACCTCTACCCTTAGATCCCAGCTCATTACCTTCAACATACGGGTAGGAGTCTGATGCTTGCTCGATCGACGGTCATCCGAGTAATAAAGAACATTTGTGCGAACTGCATGAAGACTATCTCAAGCCTGCGACCGTTTCTCAAATATTATTGCGAACTCGGATTCGATGCTAGCCGGTTAGCGCTGATTTTCTTGTTCCTGTAAGTTTCTGGTCCGGTGGATACCTTGTCCCATAAAACTCTATCATGCCGTTAGTTGGCCTTACCGTGAAGAGGACTTGATGCCAACCTGCGTTGCATCCTATGTTGACTGGCCACAGGACAACAAAGTCCAGGCGCATGCACATAATTCACGCAGGGGCTATTAGTCCAAATGGCTGGCAGTCGGCTGAAGAGCAAACTTGCCGCCGATGCTTACCATAGTAGACGGGACCAAACCATATCCGTCTTCTCTAAGGTGATTTGCGAAACCTTGGGTTGTCGATCCATCACACATCAACAGACCTACCATTCATTCGGAGAATAGTTTTACTGTTAGAGACATGTTGGACCTGTGCTGCGTGTTATTGGCAATTTTAATTAAGCGGCTTTAGGATTACGTTAAGTCAACCCACCCGTCATTTCCCAGATAAAGAGGAAAGATTTGCCATTGTGGGACAAAATTCCACCTGTCTGGATAGACAACTGTAAGGCTTCTTAAATGATGCAATCACTTCCGTACCACCGTATTAAGCCGACAACTGTCTCAGCTGATTCGCGGACCGAATGCATCAAGCATAACCATTTACAAATGCCTTTGACCCCTGTCGCGAAAAAGATCCCGCCTTTGTTGACAGAACCCGTATATTTGGGATTCTATCAACCTCGCAATAGCAGGGCGTCTGAAACGGAAATTCTCGATGAGGGTAAGAGGGAAATTCTCCTGCGTTGCGTTGCCTATATCGGTACTATAGGTTACAAACGAGGCCCAACAGTCGTGTGAAGTACTTGCATGTAGTAATCTTCTCTAGCGCTTTGTGTAAATAACTTACCTGCTAGGTAGCAGTGAGGGTCAAACTTATTTACTGGCGGTTCACAGTCGCTGGGCCAATTTCGTCAGGCTCAACAGTATCCTATTCGACAGTCTGCATATCAGACCACAAAACGCCATAATCTAAAGGCACTATTGCCAATACTCTGCAGCGATCAGGTCCACACGAAGCGCACTGATGAACTCTTGTCTTGACTAGCTCCAGTCGAACGCAAACTTGTGAACGCTTGCTGTTTCTGGCCTCTGGAACAGCTAGTCACAGGCCGAGTCACACAGAACCTCATATGACGATTGTCGAGCAGAAATCACTTCAAATGCCGTCCGCCTGCTTGCGGTTGTGTAGTCGTCTGGCAGTTAATCTTTTACTGC